ACACCTCATGATCGCACAGGCTGCTGTAATTCTTCCATGTGGGCTTTGTTGCTTCTGAGCTAGATGGCCGCTTGTTTGCCTTCCAGCCTTTAAGACCCTAGACGCTATATCTTTTGATAGCCGGGCACCATCAGCTTCCTTCACCACATTTGCTTATGCACCCATTTGTCGTCAGTGATCATGTCTGGAAGGTGAGCATCATGGAATGCCAGTTTAATAGAAGAAAGTGTTCTTGCATTGAGGGAGTACTTGAGTGGAGGCCCAATGTCAATCTGCTACCTTAATACTAAACCTATAAATATATGCACATAGATCTATTCCAGAATCCTCATCTATAAATATATTTATATATGTAAATGCCTTTATTTAGACCTACATAAATGCCCTTTGCCTCCTAGCTGTTTGCTCTATTTCCTTTTATTTTCCTCTTGTCCCACTATCATGCTTAGCCTTCATTTGGGTTTCAGTAATTCCTCTTGGTTACATTACCCTTGATCATGCCCTACCAAGTCTCCTAGACCCTCCTCACCACCGATTTGGATCACTTGTTGTTCCCTTGTCCCTGGGTTAGTTAACACTCACTTCCTTTCCCCCCAACTCCCCCTCTCCCATGTCCCCCGGAACTGTCAGTCCCGTTGTTTTCTCCTCCAGATTGTTCATCCAGCCTATCTTATTTAGACAGACTGTGGAGATAATAACATGCACAAAAACAAGACAGAGCAAACCAAGCAGCAAAAGAAAACAATATAACAACAAGAAAGAAAAGTCAAGGACTGTTTGTTGGCCTTTAGGAGTGTTTTCTGGTTGAGTCTGTTGGGGCGCCAAGCCCTGGCCCCAAAGTCTATTTTGGGGACTTCCTTGCTCTGTTCCCCTTGCTGTTCTGTTAGTAGAAGGCTTTTACCATATCGCATACAGAAATAAAGGAGGGACAGACACCGTGTCCCCCACACACAGTAGAGAGTCATTGTGTCTTTCTGTGTGTCTGTCAGTCTCTCATCTCTTTGTCTGTCTGTCTGTCTGTCTCTTGCGCGCGGAGAAAACCAACGTTATTCCTCTGTCTCTCACATGAACTTGCTGGAAAGTAGCATGTCCATCACATACAGCGAAGAAGAGGGACACCAGGTCTCTCACACGAACAGGAGAGAGACAGACAGACAGACACCACATGTCTCACGCCCTCCTTGCGGACAAAGCCAGTCTCCTCACATACACTCACTGGGAGACAGACCCAATGTCTTTCACACATAGAGGAGAGACAGACATCATGTCTGTTTGCCTGTCTGTCTTCCTCCTTCACCCTCTCTCTTTTTCTCTCTACACACACACACACACACACACACATGAGAGAGAGAGAGAGAGACAGGCGCCATGTTTCT